ATGCTTAAAGAGAGGAGATGGCATTTGGCTCAGGCCTTAAAGGATGGGGGCTGGGGGTTCAACAGATGGAGAGCGAGCAGGAGCAGAGGCACAGAGGAAGGACTGTAGTGTGCTCAAGGAGCAGTGAGTAGGACATGACCAGAATACAGGAGCCTTCGCAGGTAATGAGTCCAGTGGGCGGGGACAGGCCAGATCAAGGTCTTGAAAGCCAGGTACAGAGTTTAGACTTTGGTCTGAGGGCCATGGGGAGTCACTGGAACACTCAGAGAGATCACTGTGATGCCCAGGTGAGTGGGGCAGAGTGTAAAAGCAGAGATGGTGAGGGACTGGGTTAGGGCGATAAGACCACAGTGAGAAGGGAGAGGAAGTCTGGGAGATAGATGGAGAAGGAGGTAGGACTTGGTGGTGACTCACTGAGCACGAGGCGGGGGCGGGGGGAGGAGTTGGGGATGAGTGAGGCTGTGATACAGTGGTGACCATGGCAGGCTCTGGAAGGGAAAGAGCTACTTTGGGGGAGGGAGCTTAGTTCCCCTGCTCTAGCCTATTGTCTGTCTTGGTTTAGTTCACAGTGTGCTTGCGTCGGGAAGGGCAAACGGTGTACCAGCAAGTCCTGTCCGTGGAGCGCCCAAGTGTCCTGCGCAGCTGGAACTGGGGCCTGTGTGGGTACTTTGCATTCTACCACGCCCTCTATCCCCGAGCCTGGACTGTCTATCAGCTTCCTGGCCAGAATGTCACCCTCACCTGCCGCCAGATCACACCCATCTTGCCCCATGACTACCAGGTGAGATTCCCCCCCGTTTCCTCCACTGTCCTCTCTTCCCTGGGATCTGTCTCTGCTGGAAGTTCCATTACCTGTGAAAGAAGGGGTTGGAGCATGGCTCTTTCCTGGTAGGCAGCTTTGTGTGAGAATATGGGGAGATGCAACGAGTGGAAGACAAGAGTGTCTATTGGGAGTTTTTGAGTCACGTCCTTGGTGTGAGTTGAGGCTTGATCCTGGGGAGGGGGCCCAGGAGGGGCTACACTGGGACCATCTGAGTCTGATCTTTTGCACCCAGGACAGCAGTCTGCCTGTAGGAGTCTTTGTGTGGGATGTGGAAAATGAAGGGGATGAAGCCCTGGATGTGTCCATCATGTTCTCCATGCGGAACGGACTGGGTGGTGGGGATGATGCCCCAGGGGGTTTGTGGAATGAGCCCTTCACTCTGGAGCGTGATGGGGAGACTGTGCAAGGGCTGCTGCTGCATCATCCAACCCTTCCAAATCCCTACACGATGGCTGTGGCTGCACGACTCACGGTACGGAGCAACCTGCCCTGTATCATACCTGAACCCCTACCCCTGGCCTGGCCCCTGAGCCCACCCCGTCCCACCATGGTCTCTTCATTTCCTAAACTCCTGAGTCCCACCCTCCCCACAGCCCTTAAGCCTCTGGAACTTGGAGGAGGTTAGAGTATGTAAAAAGAGTTAGAGCATGGGCTGGAAGCCAACATATGTGTAGAGCTTCCCCCTCACAGTCTTTGGCCCCTTAACAGGCAGATACGACAGTAACCCACATCACAGCTTTTGACCCTGATGGCACTGGGCAGCAGGTGTGGCAGGATCTACTTCAGGATGGACAGCTGGACTCCCCCGCTGGTGATGGGGGGTCTAACAGGGAGGTGGTGGGAAGAGAGGTTGTCCCTGTCTTGGGAGCAGGGTGGGAGGACTGGTAATGAATGGGCCTTGTTCCTAAGTTATGGATCCCTGGGGCTGAAGGGGATGCCTGTTCTGATTCCTTTTGTGCCACTCTCAGGCCAAAGCAGCCCCTCGGAGAAAGGGGTAGGCATTGCTGGAGCTGTGTGCATTACGGGTAAGCTGCCAGCTCGAGGCCGATGCTGCCTGGAGTTCTCACTGGCATGGGACATGCCCAGAATCATGTTTGGAGCTAAGAGCCAGGTCTACTACAGGTGAGGAGACCAAGAGAGTAAAGGGATCCGAGATGCTAGGGCTCTGACCTGGAGCCCATGTGTTCATCTTTCTCCTTCCCTTCCACCCCAGGCGTTACACAAGGTTCTTTGGCTCAGATGGTGACGCAGCACCTGCCCTTAGCCACTACGCTCTGTGCCGATACGCAGACTGGGAAGAGAGGATCTCAGCTTGGCAGAGCTCGGTATTGGACGACAGGTGCCAGCAGGGCCCATCTCCTGCCTTTCTCCCAGACATTCACACTCCAACTAGGACTCTTTGATTCACTGTCTACCCACCAAAGTCTTTAGAGTTGAGCTGGGATTCACTTGGTGCCCCTACTCTACTAAACACAAGTCCTTTCCTGGGAGGTCCATACATATTAGACTGTGCTCTCTTCCTGACTCCCCAGGTCCTTGCCTGCCTGGTACAAATCTGCACTCTTCAATGAACTATACTTCCTTGCTGATGGAGGCACAATATGGCTGGAAGTTCCTGAGGACTCCCTACCAGAGGAGCTGGCAGGAAGCATGTGTCACCTCCGCCCCATCCTTATGGAGTATGGTCGATTTGGCTACCTTGAAGGTACAGGCTGCTGGTGGGGTATAGTATGGCAGGTCGCATCTGTGAGGCCAGTTAGTGCCTTACCACCACGCAGGATACTAAGTTTTATTGGTTGGGATGAGGGGTAACTGGCAGGTATGGGGTGTGACAGTGCCCCACCCCCCATTCTAGAGGACAAGCTCAGTAGGGAGGGGAATTCAAAGAGGAAGCAGGAATTCTGGCAACACTGTCTCCCTTGTTCTTCCAGGCCAAGAATATCGCATGTACAACACATATGATGTCCATTTCTATGCTTCTTTTGCCCTCATCATGCTTTGGCCCAAACTCGAGCTCAGCCTGCAGTATGACATGGGTGAGGGTCTTTTTTGTGCCTCTTCTGTCCTCTTAGCTCCCCACACTCCCTAACCTTTGTGGTCCCTCAGATTATCTCCACCCCGCCCCCCGAACATCCCAATTATTGGTTCCCTTCTGCGGTCACACACACTGCTCTGCACCACCCCAGGCCTGCCCATTCTCTGCCCCCACCCCCCACTTGTCTGTCTGCTCCCCCAGCTCTGGCCACACTCAGGGAAGACCTGACATGGCGACGGTACCTGATGAGTGGGGTAATGGCACCTGTGAAGAGGAGGAATGTCATCCCCCATGATATCGGGGACCCAGGTAAAAGTCCTTCCACCTCAAGGTTGGCTTTCCCTCCTCAGCTTAGCACCCTCTACCCTACCCACCAAGTGCAAACGAACCAGGTTCCCTTCCCTCCCGCAGATGATGAGCCGTGGCTCCGGGTCAATGCATATGTGATCCATGATACTGCTGACTGGAAGGACCTGAATCTGAAGTTTGTGCTGCAGGTTTACCGGGACTATTACCTGACGGGTGACCAGGGCTTCCTGAGGGACATGTGGCCTGTGTGTCTGGTAAGGGATGCAGGTACAGGGGCCAGTGCATGAGTGGTGTTTGGGGAGAGCCAGCCGGCTATTGTCTTCCTTTAGAATCTAAGTCTTTGGTGTCTTGGTCCCTCCCTAGGCCGTGATGGAGTCTGAAATGAAGTTTGACAAGGACCAAGATGGACTCATCGAAAATGGAGGCTATGCAGACCAGACCTATGATGCATGGGTCACCACAGGCCCCAGGTTGGGGGAGTAGGGGTTTCCAGGGGGCCTGAGGTGGGGAACAAAACACTAAGGGACTGTGGGCTCCAGGAAGAGTGACTCATTGCCTGTTAATATGGCATGGAAATGGCGAGAGCTGCCAGTCTGACTCCTAAACCCATTGCCCTGATCAGTGCTTACTGTGGAGGACTGTGGCTGGCAGCTGTGGCTATGATGGTTCAGATGGCTGCTGTGTGTGGGACACAGGACGTCCGAGATAAGTTTTCTTCCATCCTTAGCCGGGGCAAAGAAGCCTATGAGAGACTGCTATGGAATGGTGAGTTGGGGGATTCCAAGGAGTCTTACAGCAGCTTTGGGGACATAAGGAACCTTACTTTGCCCTTCCTCCACTGCAGGCCGCTATTACAACTATGACTGCAGCTCTCAGCCTCAGTCCTGTAGCATCATGTCTGACCAGTGTGCTGGCCAGTGGTTCCTAAGGGCCAGTGGCTTAGGAGAAGGAGACACTGAGGTGAGAGACTAGGAGGAGGAACCAGAAAGGAGGGTCTTTCTTGGAGGTACAAAGCAAGTTTAAGAGATTGTGTTTCTGCCTTTGCCCTTCTAGGTATTTCCTATCCAACACGTGGTCCGTGCTCTCCAAACAATCTTTGAGTTCAATGTTCAGGCTTTTGCAGGAGGGGCCATGGGGGCTGTGAATGGGATGCAGCCCCATGGTGTCCCCGATAGATCCAGTGTCCAGTCTGATGAAGTCTGGGTAGGCGTGGTCTATGGGTTGGCAGCCACCATGATCCAGGAGGTAATGTACCCTTCCCCAAGCACACTGGTCCAACACACTTCCTCAGCCCTCAAACATTCGCACTGCCAAACCCCATGCCATCCTATCCACCCAGAAAGCCTCCGTCCTTTCCCTGGCATGCATTCTACCTCCTGCCTTCAGTCTTCTGCCTGACGGTTAAGTTTATCTTTTCCATCAGCTGGGAACTGCCTGAGGGCAGGGACCCCATTGCTTCCATCATCCAGGTGAAGAGGTCATGAAGGGGCTGCCAACTAACGTGACTGCCATCTCTCCCTACAGGGCCTGACTTGGGAGGGCTTCCAGACCGCTGAAGGCTGCTACCGTACAGTGTGGGAGCGCCTGGGCCTGGCCTTCCAGACCCCCGAGGCATACTGCCAACAACGAGTGTTCCGCTCTCTAGCCTACATGCGGCCACTGAGCATCTGGGCCATGCAGCTGGCCCTGCAGCAGCAGCATAAAAAGGCCTCCGGGCCAACAGCCAAACAGGGCAAAGGACTGATCACAGGATCTAAACTCAGACCAAAAGAAGCCATGGCAAACCCAAGCTCACAGTGAGCCCTCCGAACTATGGGAGGGAGGGGCTAACAGCCCAGCCTCCAGCCTGGCCTTTGCTCCTCCTGCATCCCCCCAGTCTCCTGCAACCCTGAGCCACCAGGACAATCATGCCTCTTCCCTCCTCCCCACCCAACCATGCCAGTAAAGGGGTTGAGGGTGACCCAAGCATCAGAATCACTTATTTATTTCTTTCTTCACCCCATCCCCTCACTGCATGAAATTTTCAAGGTCAGTTGATTCCCCCCAGCCCATTCATGGGGTGAAGACATACATGGGTACAAATAAAAGACCCAGAATGCCTGTAAGTGTGGTGTGTTCAAGCCCTTGGGCTTCCTGACAAGGCACAGAAGCTAAGACTAGTCCCTCTCCCATTCCTTTTCATTTAAGACACCCCATAGGCCCCAGGCCTCTACTCTAGCCTGAGTATCTCCCCTGTAAAATAACAGATACAGGTCTATATGCAGGGAGCCATCCCCCCTCTCTTGTGAGATTTGCATGCAGGGGAAGGATGGGGCCTGGGCAGGGGAACTGTGAGAATGGGTCAGAGAGTGGCAGCTTCAGGGGAGGCTCTGTGCCAGAAGCCTGAGGCGCGTGCAAGAGCAGGCAGCAAGAGTTGCCAGGAGCCTGGAGCTCAAGGTCTGAGCTATCCTTTGGTACCTCCGACTGCAGGACAGACAGCTCCAGATGGTGAGGAAGGGCACGAAGCTGGCGGGATAACACTGAGGAGACAAAGAGTCTTCAGAGGTGGGCGGGGCTTCTCCCCCTAGTCCACCCTTAACGGTATCCTTAAGCCTCTCACCTCCGTGCTCAGCCGGCAGGCTCCCCCTTGTGTCAGAGGAGTACATAGCAGGTACAAAGATGAGACAGAACGAGAACAGTAGGACCTGGAGCACAGGAAAAGGAAATGACAAAAAGCTCTGGACTGCACCCATCCCTACACCTGAGAGAAGGACCTCTCCTTCCATCACCATCCTCACCAAGACACAGGTGCTACTGCTGCTGGTTTTGTTTGCTATCTGAATCACCATGGCCTGGAGCTGCCTCAGCTGATCCAGAAGAGACCTAGAAGAAGAGGGGACAGTGAGCAGCCCCTGGCCTGGCACCCTCAGATACAATGAAACCCTCTTTTTAAGACCACCCCTCTATCTGTACACTAGGTTCTCTAAAAAAATAAAATTTAATAACGTATACTTTCTGTATACATGAGAGAGACACAAACACTGAGTAACTCTTATTTTGTCCTACTTTTGCAAATAACTTTCTTCCTCTCTGGACAAAATGCCTTAAGTTCCTCGTTAAAACAAATACACACCCTTCTTCTCTGCCCTGACTTTAATGCCTTTGCAAACGGTGATTATACACTGCCTGATTGGCCACACGCATAATCCTCACTATCCAGTCTATGTTCTCTACCTTCTGGCCCAACTCACCTATATTAGGGCTCCAGCTAGACTGGACTAAGCTGTGTTCTCTCTCCCTAGGGTGCTCCCCATCCCTACCCCCACCCCCAGAATCCTATCTACTATCTAATGTCATCTGCCCCATGAGGCTTTTTTTTACTACATCTTTCTTACCTTACCCTTAGTTACTTGTGAATTTATTCCCCATTATTGTGAGCTTCTTAGAATCAGAAACCCACTAAAGGCCAAGCACCAGACCTTGCATGTGGGAGCTGCCCAGCTGCAAATGAAGTGTAGCACAGGAAAAAGCATTACATGGAGGGAGGCTGAGGAGGAGTGATGTTAGAGGGCTGCTTACAGATTTTGTTCCTCCAGGATCTGTACTTTGTTCTGTAGCTCCAGATTCTGGGCTGTGTATTTCAAGACCCTGAGGGAATAATAGGGATGTGGGGATACGGCCTGTATCCCTTCAACAACCTACCGCTTCCAGCTACTTCTGTTCCCCCCACCCCAGAGTACCTCTCCCATTATACCTGCTCTCTAGAACCCCCACATACATCTTCTTCTTCCTGCGGCTCTCTTGAGCTGACTTTTTATTTCGAATCTTCCTCCGCACTCGCTTCAGAACTTGTTCCTCCATCTGAGGTAACACAAGAACAATACGAGGTATATCAGAAGAACACTGGACCAGAGTTGGAAGGCAACCGAGTTCAATCATTTTCCCAATGCAGGAATCCCTGTACAGTTTCCCTGACCAATAGACACTTGGCTTCTGGCAGAATGCCTCCAAGCATCAGATGTTAATGTCCTCACAAGCCAGACCATCTTTAACAATTCTATTAATCAAAAATATTCCATATCCTGAGCCAACATCTGCCACTACAATTTCTATCCATTAGATTTACCTAGTACCTAATCTCTGGGGCCATACAGAACATATTAAATGGTCCTTAGCTATTTTAAGGCACTCACCATTCCCTCAGTTAATCTGGGCAGACATTTTAACTCATCATCTTATCTCCTCAGGATGGACCATATCCTTTTAATATCTCTCAAAGATCTGGGTTCAAAACTGGACACTAAGATATGGCCTGGCCAATATAAAGGAGAAGACGATAGTCACTGTGCTTCTAGAGGCAACATCTCTATTAATAAAGCCTCGAAACCTCATTCACTTTCTTAGTAGCCATACCACACCACTGACTCATACTTGTGAGAAATTCAAATTCTCCTAATCTTCCTGTCAGTGAACACTGATTTCATCACAGTATCACAAATAGCATGCTTACAAAGTTGTCACTCATTGCTCGAATCTTCAAATTCAGGAATTTAGATTTATTCTTGTATTACTTCTTAATCCAGCTTAAAAACTTAATTCTACCTCTCAGCTATAGGTGGATTACCATGATGCCAGTATCCAAGTGTCAGTGCCCCTTGCTTGCAGTTGTTTCCAAGTCCCTACATTAATGTACTGATAACTTTGAATTCTTAAAGAAAACACCAAAATCTGCCCCAGCTGCTATGGCTCAGTGGACAGAGCGCAGGCCTGCGAACCAAAGGGTCACTGGTTTGATTCCCAGTGTAGGGCACATGCCTGGGTTGCAGGCCAGGTCCCCAACAGGGGGCACATGAAATGCAACCACACATTGATGTTTCTCACCCTCTTTCTCCCTCTCTTCCCCTCTCTAAAAATAAATAAAATACACATATATATTAAAAAAAGAAAGAAAATACCAAAATCTGTGTAAGCCCTATAAAACCAGGATCTGCCCCTGCACCCAGTATATTAACTACACCCCCCAGCTTCCTGTAGCAGATTTGCCGAAATGTAACAGCAAATCTGCTACATTTCTCACTTCAGTCCTTTCCAAGTTACTGATAAGAGTAACAGGGCTGGTGATCAACAAGGCCACAGTGCAGCCCCAGCAGACGCAAGGGCTTTGTGAAGACCCTGACTGGTAAGACCATCCCCATTCAGTGACACCATTGAGAAGGTCAAAGCTAAAGTCCAACACAAAGAGGGCATCCCACCCGACCAGCAGCATGCGATTTTTGTGGGCAAACAGCCACAGGATGGCAGCAGTCTCAGACTACACTATTCAAGAGTCCACGCTGCACTGAGTGCTTCGACTTGCGTTGGCATCATCGAGCCCTCCTTCAGCCAGCTCACCAGGAAGTACAACTGCGACAAGATAATCTGCCGCAAGTGTTACACCGCCTGCCCCTCTGCGCTGTCAGCTGCCGCAAGAAGTGTGGCCACACCAACAACCTGTACCCCAAGGTTAAATAAAGCCCCCCCCCACCTCCTTGGCCGTCGGGCGGCCTTCTGGCTGAACTCTGTGACCCTGGGGCCTCAACAGTTTCCCTTTCATTGACTAGAGCAGTAAAAAAAGAGGGAGGGAGACAACAGCAAAGGTCTACTTGGGACTCAACACCCCCCACTAACCTTTTGCCCAACCAATGGAAGTCTTACCTTAGTGAGAGGAAGTGTTCCAGGCAGAGTAAGCCCCTCCTGCTCTAATAGTCTCTTCTCCTCATCTGTCAGTACAAGCCTAACAGTCTCCTGAGGTTAAGAAAGGTGGGCAGCAAAGTTGTAAGGGGATGTTAGAGGGGAATGAGGAATCCAGCCCCCATCCCTGCAATGTGGGAATAATCCTCCCATAAATCAAGTCGAGTACCTGCTCTGCCGGCTCCTCCTCATGCAGTGGAGTCATCTGGGTCCCCTCTTTTCCACAGCTCCCACTATCTGCGAAAGGGAAAGTGAATAACTGAGCCCATGAGCCCTCTCCTTCCCCCCAAACTTCACTATTTCCTACTCACCTAGATCTATGGAAACATGTTCTTGTGGGAGAGAGTAGGTGTGATCATGGTGAACAGGACGGGGGTTAGAGTTGCTGAGAACGGTCAGTGATGCTGGAGGACTCGGCAGAGAGCTCAGGAAATCCTCTACGTCCCAATCGCTTAGTGCCTGCACAGGATTCAATTTAACAGTCCTTGACCTTTCATCACCCCACGTCTCGTAAACACTCCGTCCCGCGCCTCCCGGACTCAGAGACCGCACCCACCTCAGAGAGCGGCAAATCCCAGGCCGGTGGAGACTCCCAGACCTCGTCGGGCACCGCCCCCAAACCTCCGCTTTCCTCTAGCAGGAAGCCCAGCAGGTCCTGATCACTGGACTCCAACGCCAACTCCATATAGGACATCTACGGAAAAAATAGGCAAAAATATGAGTTCACCCCTTCATCTATCCCCAACCCCGAATTCCATGCACGACCCACACCGACTGTCAGTCAGACCCACCTATCCACTAGTCCCTCTTCAGCCGGCTTTCCCCCCAGCTACTTAGTCGTCGTTCTCAATCTTGGACCTGCCCTTCAGACTCAATTCTCTGCAGCTTCCAACACAGCGGAAGTGACGTAACTACCCCAAGGCATTCCGGGACTTGGAGTTTCCTATAGTGCGGAAGTGGCCTAGGTACGGCGCCACGTCCCGGTGCTATGCAAATAGAGGGGACGTCCCTGCTGCGTCTCCTCACACCCCAGGGGCGGTCAGTCTGAGGAATCGCTCCGCCTTTGCCCCAAGCTAGGAAAAAGAATCAGAGCCTAAAAGGGAACTCGAGTGCAGTTCGAGCGTTTTTCCTGGATTGCTACGCAACCTTGCTTCCTGCCGGCGAGTGGCGGCCGGTTTTTAGGCAATCTCCTGAGCATCGAGAGCTGGAGCCAGAGCAGCTTCCTCCAGTCTCCGCAACCATAGAGCGCGGGCCCAGGGCGCCGCCCACGGGTGGGGGACGTCCCGGGGACGGAAGTGGCCGAGTGTCGCCGAAGGGAGGGCGAGGCCGGATCCCGAGAGCGACCGGGAGAACTAGCCGGCTAACGGGCCGGCGGGCGGGGCACAAGCAGGGTTGCGCAGGTAGGTCGGACCGGGCCGAGCGGGAACCTCAGGGTGGGGCCAGGCCCGGGAGGCGGGCGGGCGGAACCCCGAACTCTCCTGCGCCTTCTGTTTCAGGTCTTGTTGGAGAGAGTTCAGCGTTCTGTCCATCTCGGTTTGGGCTCGCAGTTAAAGTAGACCCTTTTGCCAGAGTCAGGGCCTTCCTGGGAGCAGTCTGCTGTCTCGGATAGGTTTTGGGGAGGGTGAGGAGTGGGGTGGCAGTGCGGTGCAGGGCGGGGATCGATTTTGAGATTCACTGATAGCGGTCATGTGGGTAGGAAAGCTTTGGGTGAGTTTGGGATTCAAGATTAGCTTTAGGAGTTATAGAGCCAAGATTAAAATATGGAATTATTAGTGTGAGTCAGGTCATTATTTTCTTTTCTAGGATGGCCAAAGTAAGTCAGAGTTAGAGTTCAGGGTCAACAACAGGAGTTAGGTTAGAAATTCAGTTTTAGGGAGTAGGGAACCATGGCATGGTCAGTATTAGGACTAGACAGTGAAGGGGTGAGTCAGGAAAGGGATGAATGTCAAAGGCGGTGTTGGGAAACAGGAAACAAATTAGTGTCAAGGTTAACGTTAGGAATTTGGGGCGGTTCTAGAGGTTGTGGTTGAGGTGAGGGTGGTTGAGCTCAGGCAGGTAAAATGTAAGAGATTGACAGTAGCTGGATGACCTTGTTTTGTGGGAGGTCTCATTCCTGTGTAGTCTCAGGGGCTTCTTTGACCCAGAATAAATGACATCCTTAATTTCAGGCCATGGTTCTGGACTTCAGCTAGAATGGCAGGCATCTGGTTTTCCAGCTTCTTTATTCTACTCTTGAAGTCCAAGACTCTTCCAGTGGCCACCAAGTTGAGGGGCAGGGGTTCCTGGACTATGTTGTTTACAAGATAGGAGATGGGAAAGGGACAGGGACCCAGGAGGTACACAAAGCCTAGTCATAAATGGAGGACTACGTAAGGAAGAGGGACTGGTGACTAAGGGGGAAATAGACCAAGGAAACACTGTTGCTGTAGGAGGAAAGGATAACTGAATCCTCTGGAAGTTCACTGCCACTGCCTCCCATTTCCTTCATTCCCTAGATATTAAGCCGACCTCTCCAACTTTCATCCTTGGTCCTGCACTTCACACGCATCTCGCATACCCCCTCACAGAGTACTTACCTTGCCTTCTCCCATGTTCATCTTACTATCCGTTCCTAGCCTCAGTTCTCCCTCCCTTGCCACTCCTTAATCTACACATCCTACTTTAATTTACCCTCACCCAAATCTGAGCTTTCACATAATTTTACAGCACTCTCCCATGATTTTCACCCACTCATTTACCCGCATACCTTTTAGTCAACTGCTGAATACCCCACTCCCAGCCCAGCACAATTGCCAAGTAACCCTGTTCCCTGCTATGTGTCATCCCCTGATTCTAAGCCTCCTTAATTTCTTGGTCCACTTGTAGATCCCCTTCCCCCACTCCCCAAACAGAAAAGAGGAAATGAGACCCAAAGAGGAAACTGGGTCTTGCAGATCCCACGCCCAGCCAGGCCACTGACCACACCCCCATTTCACTCCCAGCCTGACCCTGCACTGACCGTAGCACTATACCCTACTCAGTGTGACCTAGGCACTCACTGGCTGCATCCCATGCCCCCACCCCCCTACAACTATGGCTTTACTTAGACACTACCAGTGTCCCTTCTCTCTCCCCTGTCCCCAGCCTCATTTAACCACTGACCACAGGCCCATCTCTTCTGAGCCTCCTGTACCCTGACCTCACTTCATCGTACCCTGACTTACCCACTGTCCCCATAGTTACTCTTCCCCTTCTCGCAGCCTGATCCAGTGACTGATTGTATATACATTTTTCCTACTACCATCTTCCCCAGCCTTTCTCTATACCTTGTTTTCCCCATTTCCAGCCCAATACAGTCAGTAACCCCATTCCTTCTTCTTTTTTTTTTAATTTTAGGAGGTACATGTATGCATTTTATTTTTTAAAATTACAGTTGACATATTAATTTCAGGTGTGCAACACAGTGTTTGGACGTTTATATACCTTACAAAGTGATCACACCAATAATTCTAGTACCCGTCTGAGCCAGTACAGTACCCTCACTTCTGCCCCTCCCTGGCACTAAGCACATCCCCATCTCCTTTTTCCCCACAGACTAACCACAGCCTCATTGTCACATTCCCAGCTCAACCTGGTCCCCACTCCCAATTTTTTTACCTAAATTCAAGCTGCCCCAGCCACTGAGTGGCTGCTAATGATAAGAAGCTTTGGAACCCCAGCCTGACTTTGGGTCCTGGTCCCTGATGGTTGACAGGACAGACTGCCTTCAGGTCCTGTCAGTTCTGCCTCTTAAAAGTTCTCATGAATCGCATCCTTCTCTCCACTATTCTATCTCTAGCTTTATTACCTCTCACTGGTGCTAATGCCGTGGCTTTCTAACTGATCTCCAAGGTAACTGGCAGAGTTATTTTCCTAAAATCCAGTTATGGTTATGTCCCTTCTCTACTCACAGCCTCCCTTGCCCTTTTGTTACCCTCCAGTAGATTAAAATCTGTCATACTTCTCTCTAGTCCTCCCTTGCCTTTTTAATCATCCTAACCCTGACTTCCCCATCACTGCTCCCTTGCAGGTACCCTGTGCTTCATCCAGCCTGTCTCCTCACTTCCCTGAATGCTCCTTCGTGATTTCCTGCTTATCTACCTTTGCTTATGCTATTCTCTCTGCCTGGAATGCTACCCCTGACTCATCTCCGGCTGGTATAGTGGAGAGCGTGGGCTTTGGAGTCAGAGAGACCTGGGTTCGGATCCTGGCTCTACAACATAGATATGTGACTTTGGACAAGTATTTTGAACAAGTGTTTAACTTCTTTGAACCTCAGTTTTATAATCTGTAAAAATGAAAGTAATGACACCTACCTTGCAGGGTTGTTGTAAGGATTAAATGAAGTTATGTATACAAAACTATGGACATAGTTAATAAAAAGATAGATCACTATTATTTTTTATACTATATATTTTTTTAAATCCTAGTTTCAAAGGACTCCTTTTCATGGAGACTTTTTATCCCTCTTCCTTAACCTAAAGGGATCCTCCCTGAGCACATACCTCTTGGCTCTTACCACATCCTGCCCTCTAGTATAACTCTGTGTTTAACTTACACACTTAGCTGCCTGGGAGCCCCTTGAGGTGCAAAGGCTAAGTAGGGCTTACTCTTGGTTCCCAGTCACTGAGAGTTTGTCCCAGGGTCTTCCCCACAACAGGCCTTCCAAAATGCTTGCTGGATGAATGGAGGGAAAATGTCTAAATAATGGGAGAAGAGATGTGGGGTGACTGTTGTGCTTGCTGATAGAGGTGTGTTTGTGGGGAAGCTTTGTGTGTAGGATGAAGTCTTTCTGGCAAGATACTGTTGTGATGGGATCTGTGTAGTGGCTGCGTGTTTGAGATAACATGTCTGTAGAGGCGACGTAAGTAGCCTTGTGGAAAAGAGCTCTGGGCATAGGCTGGGCTGCCTTTGGGGAAAATGAATGTGCACGGTTAAGGGTGTAGGTGAGGAGGGGCTGCGTTGGGGGAAGGTCAGGTCCAGCCCTTCAGCTGCCTGGTCCAGCCCTAAATGAGCCTCCAGCAACTTGAGGCCGGATATGTCAGTCTCACCCACAACCCTCACCACCCCTCCTCCTCGCGGTTGCGGACTCAGAGGCCAAATTTGGTAACAGACTGAGTGTTATTCCCCCAACTCTCTTCCATTCTGACTCTCTTCAGCTTTCTCTCTCCCTTTGTCCCTCTCTATAACTCTCTGTCTTCTGCTGCTCCCTTTGTGGGTATCTGCTCTGACTATATTGTCCATGTGCCCCAAATTCCTCACCGTCAGTACACTGACATTCCATTCCTTGCTGGGATTTGACCTCCTGTCCTCCATTCCCCCACCCCCCTCCAATTGCCCAACTCCTCTGGAATGTATCTCAGGAATGTCTTGAGGGAGGAGGAGTTCCCTGGGAGGGGGACACGGTGAGGGGGTTGTTGTTGCTGTTCCATAAAACATGGAAAGGGTAACAAAATTCTCAGGCCAGGGCAGGAACAGGGTAACTTCTTCTACTTGTCCTATGCCCTCATCACCCCCAACTCACGTCCTCAATTCCCTTTTCTCCCTCACCCCCTTGTAGCTATGTGGATGTACACTTAAGACCAGCCCGAGAGTAAGGGGGGGGCATGACTCAACTCCCTTATCGGGGTCTCACCAGAGGTTTCCTTACTTGAGAAAGAAGGGGGTGTCCATATGTCCGGAGGAAATGGGGGGAGATGTGCCATTTCAGCATAGGGTGCAGGGTCCTTTCAGTCCTGCCCTCAGCTCCTCCGACTCCTCCAGCTTCGCTCCAGCCCTCCAGAGACCCCACATCCAGGTCTGTCCAATGGCTGGGAGAGGTGCCCAAGGAAGGGGGAGGTGGGCAGAGGTAGAACTGGGGACACTGGGAGGGTCTTCTCTTGTTTGGGAGTAAAGAGAGCGTGCGAGCTGTGGTTTTCTCTCAATATATTGAGACTCTGGACTGTTGAGAAGGTCCAAAAAGGTCCTTCAGCTCCTGTCTCCC